CAAAAATGCGAATTCATTGTGATGTAACCCCCAAAATGTCCTGGTACGGCCGAGCATTCGAAATGCTCTTGCGTGGCCGTGAGTATACAGCCACTGCCAGGGAAGTCCTAATCACTGCCTTCTCGAGGTGAGAATGCTGTTTACGAAATTTAGAGGGCGAAAAGCGAATATACAGCACTTTAACGGGGTTGGCGGACACTTAGAATTCACCTAGGGGAGTTGGAAAACCCTGATTCCAAACCGATGGTTTACATGAGCTCTAGAATCCTAATGAAACAAATGACGTACAAACCAAATTTTGGTCAGCGGCTACCGTGAAACTGCATCACCTTACGTTGCTCCACTGTCTTGTGGATCAGACCTTTAGATCGAAGGCTCTAGGTGTGGCTCACTAATAAAACCACCTGCTTCGGTTTGGGCACCCTGTCATTATTACATTTCACACACAAATTAAGTGACTTGTGTGGCACTTACTTAATTGGTGCACCTTTGTACCAATATTTATGTATTCAAATAAATAAAATAATAAATAAATAGATAATGAAATGAATGATAAGATATTTCCATCTATTGTTAATAATATTATCTCACAGATTGAAATCATGAGTCAATTGAAGCTAGACCACCATGGTAAACCTGGAGGTACTAGACGGCCGTTTCGTTCTAGTACGGGACTCTTCAGCAGTGCTCGGGACTGATAGGTTCCACGCTCGAATCACTCGAGGTGCGTGATCGTGGATGCGCACTGCTGAGGAGTCCCATACTAGGACCAGACGGTCATTCAGTGCTTGAAGGTTTTCCATGATGGTCTAGCTTCAATTGACTCATCATTTCAACCAGTAAAATTTCTAAAATCTCCACAAACCCCTTCTGATAATAATACTCTCTGATATATATATGATTAAATAGCAAACTGGAGCAATCCGGTTAGAATGTTCAAATGTCAATACAGTTTGATCATTTGAAATCATTTAAATGAATAACAAGAAAATATATACACGTTTACAAAATATCAGATATAACTACATTATCATAATCACATTGAAGATTGATCAATTTTTTCTTTCAATGTTATTAAACCTTTTCTACACTTTGTCTAGTCTGATAAGAATAGTTTCAATGATTTTGTTTGTCTTTTAAATAATCACAATTACAGTTTATTATATGAAATCATATTGTAAACAAAGAAAAATGTTTAACCAATGTGATTATTATGTAAGAGATGATAGAGAATATTGATAATTCAACTGAATGATTTTGATGAAGTCAGTTTTGTCTTCTGACCTGGATGATTTGGTTAAATTCATGATTTGATCTAAGCTAGACTATCATTAAAAACCTGGAAGCATTGGATGGTTGTAGCGTCCTAATATAAAACTCCTCAGAAGTGAGCATTCATGATGTCGCACGTACGGACTCGAACCCAGGACTTACGATATCACGCATGAACGTTTAACCTCCAGACCACTGTGCTGGCATCCAACAGTGTTCATGTTTAACTTCAATTGGTTCATGATCTTATATAATCCTTCATCTGTTGTCTAAAGCTGATAACTCTTTTCCAAAAGTCATCTCTCTAATTTGTCATATATTCATAGTAAATGGAAATCGAGTGAACATAATCTTGTTCTAGTTATAAAAACTGTCCTAGAATAAATTAATCATATTAAGTATTACCGGTTCATTTACTATCATTTAGTAAGCCAGTTTTATTCCACTGACATAAATTAAAGGAAGAAATCTTTATTAGCTCGAGTGGATGCATTTGTAGTGAACGCAGTCTTCAAGATGATGAACAATTTACTTTGATAACATATGAGAACCATATGTTAAATACATAATTTGCGCATCTTCCATTAGTTATCCTTTACATGCTTCATGGTTCTTTCAGTTCTCTTGTTATTACAATTATTTTCTATTTCCCTTTTTTGTTCTCTTCAATTAAATCCTCTCAATCTTCTGAAGACATGCATTCCACTTCTGATTGATGCTTGATACTACTTATATCTATCAACATAAGTAGCACACTACACTTTTTAGTAATATTATATAATCTGACCTACATGATTCAATTGCAATGCTTTAATTACTGTCTGTAAATAGTATTACCTAGATTTACTTCATGTAGAACCATTTCTTATTCAACGTTTAAAGGATATAACTAAAATGCGAGAAACATTGAATAAGTCTATAATATGATATTGATACTATGAATCACATATGAAATGAATTTCATTAAAACAAAAAAAGTTACACCAAAAGGATAAAAGGATACAATGTCATCTTATCAATTGACATTATTTTCCTACAATTTCATTATTTCAATCGTTGAAATCATGAGTCATTTGAAGCTAGACAACAATGGAAAACCTGGAAGCACTAGCCGGACGTTTCGTCTTAGTATGGGACTCCTCAGCAGTGCGCATCCATGATCCCGCCCCGCGAGATTCGAACCCAGGACCTATCGGTTTCGCTCACGAACGTTTAAACTCTAGACTTAGTAATTGCATAAATACCATTTGTGATTGTGCTTCAGTAGTTCAAAGAACTTTACTTACTATCGTGAAAGCCAAGTCAAGTGCCTACTTCTTGGTTATAATTCGTGCTAGAAAATAGATATTCATTTTAACATTAATAGTTTCAAAAGTTTTAGAATCAGATAATTCATACTTATCGAATAAACAGAAGTATACTAAACTGCAGGTGATGCAACCCTATCTCAGGTCCTGCAGTTGAACTTACGAAACCAGATTGATCTTTTTTCACTTGTGAAAGGAGGTACACATAACCAATGAGACACGTTCCATGGTTGAAAATGTAACTTTATATTTTAAGTGAGGAATATATGTATGACTGAGTGTATAAATATTCGTGATTAGGTTTTAGTCAACAAACCTTCCTTCTTACTCAAGCTTCCGGTTCGATCTCATATATAGGAAGCGTGTAGATCAGTATCAAAGTTAGATAATCTCACAAAATCATAGTACACTAGTGCATTTGTGTTGATTGTCTGGATCTTTCTATCGTTGTTTATAGCGGCATTGGGTTGAGTCCTGAAGTAAACATCAAATCTACGAATACAGGTACATCCGATTGACAGGTCCCAAATAAGAAGAAAAATACGTCCTTGATTCCTTGATTAGCCAACATCCACATCTGTCTATAACTGTATACCGTTTTTTTCTACTCTACTCTACTTCTGTGGTAAATTATAGGTTACAGTTAAGAGAATAATTTAATGTATCCGAACTACAGTGTTGTGAAACGCAGTTATCTGCAATAGCCACTATGAATCAACATTCAGACTGTCATGACATCCAACGTTGTTGATTTGAATGTATACCACATAGATTCATTCAAGAATTCTTCGGTAATAAGTAAGCACACTACCAAAAAAATATGAGTTCATCATTTTCTGGACAGATTCTTTTAGATATCTACATCCTTAGGCTATAAATTTCATTTCATCTTACTGAACTACTTACTTACATACTTACGCCTGTTATCCCCAATGAAGCATTGGCCGCCAATCAGCATTCTCCAACTCCCTCTGTCTTAGGCCTTCCTTTCTAGTTCTACCCAATTCTTGTTCATTCTTCTTATATCTGTCTCCATTTCTCGACGTAATGTGTTCTTTGATCTTTCTCTTCTCCTTTCGCCTTGAGGATTCTAAGTAAGGGCTAACCTTGTTGTGTCCTATCCATTGTACTATTAATAAATATATATATAAGTAGTACAAGAAAACAATTCAGAAATTTTAATTTTGTTTGAAAATATTTCGATATTATCTAGACAATCTATTCAAAAACAAAGAACATTTCATTATCGAAATTCATTTTGTTGACAATCTAGACTGTAAATAAAACCTCTGTCAAATATATTTTTAAATTTATGGTTTTATTGTTAAAATGTAAATACCTTAACTATAGAAATCATTGATTGTTTTCAACATGAAACTATTTAACTGTCAAAATTTGTTTACTCACATACACAAGCACACATAACAACAAACATTTTATAAATGGTATTACTTAAAGGTAAATTATACTATTCTAAGTCTAAACATCTCAATACATATTGAGGAGATCTAGAGTATTTCTCGTCAAATCCTAAAGGCACACTGAATACACTTGGAAAGCATTTGATTCATCTGAAATATGAATATATAATGTAACCATGGAGTAGTGCAGTTCATTCTATATTTCACACTTTTTCTCTTGTGTTCAAGTTGTCTTGTAGATTTAGTTTGTGTTATGATTTTATATCCGTCTTTTATCATGTGATTTCTCCACCAAGCAAAATACGACTTATACAATCGTAGCACTATGCCAAACCACTGACATTCAACCGGTATGGGCAGTCTAGCGTCCTTATTGGTCCTATATCCGCCTAGCCCGTCCACTTGAGTCCAGAACACCAAATATCAGCTTCCAATATGCGAATCGAATCGAATCATCTATTTCAGTTATACTGGGTTTATATATCAATCAAACAGATCGCAACACACCATAAAAATAGGAAATAACATTTGTACATAATAAAGCCAAAAAGTGGCTGTGAACGTGGGAGACAGTAGTCAATAAACTGAACATACATTCAGAACAGTAAATCGTAAAATATTAAATTGTAAGCCAAAATGAAGCTTATCATAAGAGGAATATAAATATACATAATCTAATTATTGAATAATTATACCATAAGAATATACAGATAATATTAGTCTATTAATAGGTCTCAGGAGTTACTCGTGATTTAATCTTCGCTCGGATATAACAGTCTGAGGTTATAGGAAGAGTTAAGGAAACTGATTCAAGCGTTGATTTATAACAGTTTAATTGATATGATATATATCTACAGTCATTTTGATTCATAATAACTAATCATATGTGATTTCAATTATTATTATTATTAACTTAATGATTGATTATCTCTGCATTTTTATGCGAATGATGTAATCAATTAATAATGTTTTTTTTCTTCTTCTGTTGTTGTTGATTTAGATGCAAAATAATTCAACTTCAAATGAATTTAACTCATTTTCAATATGATTTATTAAATCAATTTAAATCATTTGGACAATTACTTGCTCCATTTGAAGATGGTGGTATTTTAAATTATTTATTTGAACAAATTACTATTAATAGTAATAATACTACTAATAATAGTAGTATTGATAATAGTTTATTACATAATGATATTATATCGATTTATGATAATCAATCAATAACATTATTAAAATTGATTGAAATTAATGATACATTTACATTTTTAAGTAATACAATTAATTCTATGTTATTTTATAGTATACAAAATATTAATGTTTATAATGTATTATTAATGAATTCAAATGAATTCAATACACCATTTATAAATAGACAGAAACCATTTGTAACTAGGAAATTTATTGTATTGATTATTATTGAAATTTTATTGATTTTTATTTGTTTTTTATTAAGTATGTGTTATTTGATATTTTTATATCCACCTAATTGTATTCAACGAAAATCATCATTGAATTATTTAAAATGTTTAAAAATTACACAAGTTTTAGCCGATAAAAAGTATAAAAATGATATGAATAATTCTAATATAACTGATATTACATTAGATAATTTATCAAATAATTATGTACAAAATAATGAAATGTCAAGATGGATGTTGAGAAATGAAGAAAATATTTCAGTCAATTCATCAGATATTTATATTAATGTAAGTGAACTTGATTGTTTTTGAAAATCTCCTAAATATTTTTGTTATATATTTATGCTACTTATTTATTAGTTAGTAGTATATATTTTCTTGCAAAATACTGGGGATATCATTTTGTATTGGTTTTTTTGAATCTTCCCATTGATGTTTAGGACCGAAATTGATCAGTTTTTTATTGGTATATATGTATCCTGTGCGGCTTGCCTCGATATTGCCTTAAGTTACAAGCACTACATACAGAGATGGATCGTGGCTAATAGTGGAATCAGTTGGAAACAACGAATACTAAAATGAATGAAACTTCACAAGTTAGTGTTTATTTAGACTCAGTAGCTAAATGAATGCAGAGATTGTGTTTAAAGCGAACGATATTGAGTTCGTGTTCTTGAGTAAACATCAACTCTGGGATGCAGCTACATCCGGCTGACGACTCTCAAATAAGACGAAACATGCGTCCAGGACTCCACTGCCAGCCACCACCCATCGCTGTTTAAAAATGACAGTTTTTATTGGTTTTATCCTACTTGCTTAATTTAGCATTAATAATCACGTTTTTCATTAGTCATTATCCATATTCCCATATATGTCGGACGATCGAGATTTCATATCAATAAATTCAGTAAGGGGATCCTTATTTCCGTAATTCGCATACTTATATTTTTATTTATGGTCATTTCAAACAGAAAGCATCCTTATCTTTGAAATGAATCATTAATTTCGAAGATGAACGGCGCATTGGATAGGCAAGTTTACATATGTTTTCGTTTGATCAAAAAGCATACTATCTCAATAGTCACGCAATTTGTATTGAAGTTAAATATTATTATTTACTTACTTACACCCGTTACCTTTAGTGAAGGGGCTTAAGGCCCCCTTACCACCATTCTCCATTGAACTCCGTCCTGAGCAATCCTTTCCAGTTATTCCCAGACGTTATTTGTTCTTTCGATATCTGCTTTCAATTCTCGGAAAATCGTGTCTCCTCGTCTTCCTCTTTTCCGCTTCCTTTCAGGATTCCAAGTTAGGGCTTGCCTCGTGATGCCGTTTGGTGATTTTCGTGATGTATGTCCTATTTACCTCCATAGTCCTTTCCTAATTTCCTCTTCAGTTAGAAGCTGATTTGTTCTTTGTGTTAGTAGGTTGTTGCTGGACATATTGACCAATGGATCTTGAGTATCTTGTGCAGATAATTATTAGTACATACTTTCACTAATTTGATGATAGATGTAGTAGTTGTCGAAGTTTCAACTCTATACAGTAGAACTGCCTTGACGTTCGTATTGAAGATGTTCACTTTGATATTGGTTGACACTGGTTTTGAGCTCCATATGTTCTTCAACTGTAGGAATACTATCCTTGCTTGCCAATCCTTGCATTTACGTCTGCATCAGATCCTCCACGTTTATCGATGATTCAGACTCAGATTTGTGTATTAAGGACAGAATTGATGACTCGGTGTAAAAACCTGTATGCTACCCAGATACGTGAAACTTCCCACCTCTTCCAGAGTTCCTCCATCAAGTGTGACTGGGTTAGTGTTCTCTGTGTTGTATTTGAGTATCTTGCTTTTTCCCTTGTGAATGCCGAGGTCTACTGCTGCAGATGCTCTTGCTACACTGGCTGTCTTGACCTGCATTTACTGATGCGTATGGGATAGAACGGCTAGGTCATATGCGAAGTCCAAATCGTCTAGTGGCACCCAACCTGTTCATTTTATTCCATGCTTTCCCTCAGATGTCGAGGTCTTCATAATCCAGTCAACTATCAGAAGAAAGAGAAATGGAGAGAGTAACAACTTTGTCTGACTCCGGCTTTCTATTAGAATACATTTGTCAACTGTCCTCTATTCACGACTTTTCGGTGTAGTCCGTCGTATGAATTCCGGATGATATTGACGATTTTCTAAGACACATCACACTGTCGAAGAATCTATAGTATTCTCTTATCCATGCTTTCAAACGCCTTCTCATAGTCGAGGAAATTGATGTATAGTTTCATTCAACTGATAGTTCAACAATGATCCGTAGTGTCTCAATTTGGTATGTTCACGACCGATCCTTATGGAATCCGGCCTGTTGGGCGTCTACTGTCTCTTTCATCCGGTTCAGCAACACTCTGTTGAAGACTTTCCCTGGTATTGACAGTAGTGTGATGCCTCTGCAGTTTTCACATCTGCTCAAATCTCCTTTCTTTGGACGAGCTGTCATTCTTTCTAGTCCATCAGCACTTGTTCTTCCTCCCAAACCTTTCTGAACAGAACACGGAGCAAGATTACAATTGTTTCTATGTTTGATTTTAGTACTTCAGCTGGTATGTTGTCAGGTCCTGTTGCTTTCCCTCTCTTGATTTATCTGATGGCTATCCTGATTTCTTCCATCGTTGATGGATTGACATCTATAGAAAGGTCTGTCTGTGCTCCTTCGATTTCCGGTGGATCCACTGGAGTTGAGCTATTCAAACTCCCTCAGAGTATTCTACCTACTTGTTACTTTGTTCGTGCATCTCCGTGATTGTCTTGTCTACTTTCTTGTCCTTGACCGGTCTCTCTGGTTTACTATATTTCCCTACTTTTTTCTTTATCGTGTCATAGTTGTATCATATGTCCTTCTCTTGCAACTTTTTCTGCAGTCGTTGCTAGATATTCCATTTATTTCTGCTTGTCTACTCCAACGCTCCTCTTCACTTGTTTGTTTGCTTCAGTGTATTTAGCTCATGCACTTGTTCGGCTGTTGCCAGTTGCGGTATTCTTGTTCTTTCTTTCTTGAACCTTATCCACGATTTCCATAGAGAACCCTTTTTTATTATGATGCTTGTGTCGTCCCAAGATCGCCTGAGACGTTGAAGTTAGTGCTTCTATGATCCCTTTCCGGTTGTCCTTTATAGTAATTTCCTCTTTGAATAAATGTTGTTGAGCTTGCAACCTGATGTTCAGAGTTATCTTGAACTCGTTGAGTTTGTTAGTAACTAGATGGAAGGCTGTATTGAACCCCTATAATGTTGTTTCTCAAGTTATCCAGTGCTTCTTTAACTTTAGTTTCATCCTGGAAACTACCAGGTGGTGATCTTAAGCTATGTCAGTTCCTTTCCTGGTTCTTACATCTTCCATTGACTCTCTGAATTTCTCGCTGATGCAAATATAATCATTTTGATTCTGTGTAGCGTGATCCGGTTAGACCCATGTACCTTTGTATATGCGTTTGTGGGGAATAAAGTGAGTCTATAACCATTTTGCTGAATGTACATAAATTTACAAATCTGTCACCATTCTCATTCCTTTTCCCAGTCAGTCCATGCCGTCCCATGATATCTTCATACACGGTTTTGTCCATTCCGACTTTGGCGTTTAGGTCTCTCATCAGGGTGATTAGGTCTTTTACTCTGCACTTCGTTATGATTGGTTGCAGCCTCTGATAGAACTGATCTTTACTGTCGTCGTCTCTATCATTGGCAGGTGCATAACATGGGATAACATTCATTGTGATCCCTTCCTTCTTTATTTCGAAGGATGCTTTGATCACTATAGATCCATGAGATTCTCATTCCATAAGTACATTTCTTGCTTCTCTGGACAGCATCAGAGCAACTCCCTAAATGTGTGGAGCATTTTTCTCTTCGTGACCGGAGTAAAGCAGCATCTTTGCCGTATCTAGCTTTTGCTGTTCAGCTTGGGTCCAATGAATTTCGCTGATCCTGAGAACCATCAAGTTGTATCTTCCTATTTCCATTGCTATTTGACTGGTCCTCCCGGTCTCTCATATTATCCGGATATTCCATATACCTATGTTAAATGTTGCTATGGTTGTTAGAAGAGACATTTGCCCCATGACTTCCGAAGGAACTCAGCTTTCATAATACAGTCTCATAACTCATTGTGAATGTAGACTTCTTAAAATATTTCTATTCCCACTATTTAGTTGATTATTTAATAAAATACTAGTGTTATTGTCTTGAAATAAAGCAATTGAACTCTTTAAGCACGTCAATTACAGTTATCCATCTTTATTCATGGTATAGTGTACGAGAATTCAGGTGAGGGTAATCTAATTCATTGTTAAGTGCAAAATGACATAGTACTTTAGTAAAATATGAAGATCATACATTAAACATATATGATTTGCACATATTCCATCAGTTGACCCTTACATATTTCATGATTCTTGCTATTCTGTTGTTATTCCAATCGCTCTCTTTCTCCCTTCCTATTCTCTTGAATTCAATCTTCTGTTAACAGATATTCAACTTTATACTACTTATATCTGTCAATGTAAGTAGCTTATATCTCAATAGTATCAACACCAAAACTAACAATTTTTCCCATTAATTTTATATTTGGGCCTAGATTGACATTCTGAATGGATCGATGTCAGACCGCCACTAGAAACCTGGAAGCAATGAACGGCCATTTCGTCCTAGTATGGGACTCCCTAGAAGTTTGCATCCACCATCCCACATGTGCAATTGATTGAGGTTAGACATAAACACCGTTAGATGCCAACTCAGTGGTCCAGAGATTGAGAGGTCTTATGTTCGAGTCCCGTGTGCGAGATACTAGGATGAAATCATCAATCCAGTACTTTCAAGCTTTCAATAGTAATCTATCATTAATCCATTCATAATATCAATCTAACTTTAACAATCTTTACAATCTTGTTATGATTTGTTATTCGCTTGAATGCTATTACTGATGCGTCTTACTCAATGAACGAAGGATCAGTGACTCGATAGCTATTCTGGTTCGTTGTCCCCCAACTCTGCTAATTCGATCAAGAAGTCTGGGTAAGGTTTAGAAGTGTATTCTGCAGACACACAGCAGCTAACAAGTCAAGTCAAACACACAACTCACGCGTATTTATATAATATTAACAATCGATATTGTCATAGAAATATTTTAAACACATTTAATCGATAGTTCATCAATTGACCTATTTGCACATCTAATTGATAGATTCATAAACTGACTACTATACAAACATTTAATCAATAAGTTAATCGATAAGATAAAATTTAAAAATATGAGTTTGGGGATCTATCATCCCCAACAAATCTTTTACTAATAATAATAATAATTATTTTTTTTATTTTTATACATATAGGATCCAACATACAATCGTCAATTATCTAAAACATCTTTAACAAATTCTATGAATTCCATAACATTTATTCATCATAATGAAATACACCAATCAATTCATAATCCAATCTCTTTATCAATGATCAATTCATTATCATTTCATAATCAATTAAAAGGATATTTTATTTTAAAAATAATAATTTATAGTTTAATTTGTATTAATCTATTACTAAGTATAATCTGTTTCTATGCAATGGATAATAATTTTCAATATTTTCAACCTAAATTCATAAATAATACAACAAATTCAAATGTAAAAACATTTAGAAATTTAATCATGAATGAAATTGTATATAAATTACCAGAATATTTACAAGAAATTATCACTCATGGTCAAATGTATACAAATCAAACATTTAGAATTATTGAAAAAGAACTTGATGTAAGTTTGATCAGAATGGGGCGAGGGGGGTGGTGGTGGTGGTGGTGGTGGTGGTGAGATTTTGTGGAGAATGTAATAATTTCAATAGTTGAAATCATGATTGAGATCAAGTTTACCATAGAGATCTAGTTTCAAATTACTCATGATCTCAACTGTTGAAAATGAGAATTATTTTGTATTAATTAAGTGTATGTTCTATTATAATTTGTCTCTTATATAAATTTGTGAAGAGTATGGAAAAAAGGGCGAAGATAAAAACGGTATAGCAACAAACAAAAATAAATGTAACATCAATTCATTTAGTGTTGTTTTATTTGTATCTTCTCATTGTTATTTAGGACTGCGATTGATCAGTCACTTATTGGCATATGTACATCCTGTGCGGATTGCCTCGATATAGCCTTCAATCACGAGCTTTTCAAACAAAGATGGATAGTGGCTGGTAGTGAAATCCAGGATACGCGTTCACTCTTAGACTCGAACCCAGAACATCACCTCTGAAATGCATCCAGCTGACGAGTCCCAAATAGGACAAAACGCATTTCCTTGATTCCACTGATAGCCACTATCCATTTTCGCTTAAAAATCTAACATCAGTTGCAAAATAAATTGCATCAACTGAGAAAAATATTACACTCGATAAAGTAAGCGTTGTTTACACCTGTACAAAAATCAACATAGATTAAGAGTGAGGCAAAACGATAAATATTCACTAACATCAGTTCATGCTAAGAAATATGAATTCGAATTTGTTTGGTAAAACGTCGTAATTTTGGACTGACAAAACTCAAAGAATGCTAGAGGATTCTTAAAAGCATAGAATTCAGATCCAATAATAATCAACACACAAATAGACATTGATCCAATCTATGAACCCATATAGAAAAGGTCAACTAGTCATAAGGTTTGAAGTCAACCAACAATGATTGTTAACGTGAATCCAGAAACATATGATGATGATGATGATGATGATGATTAAAATCTACGAAGATAGTCAATCACAACCATTCATTACTATCGTGGTGATAAGAATGATGGCAAATTAGATTGATACTCATTCATCACGATCCTTACTCCCTTTATAGATGACTGACTGACACGTTAAATTAGATAATCAATTTCATGACGCAGTAGATATTGTCTAAATGAAAGCAGAAACGACAATTATATTATTTCACAATTAGAATGAAGGTTTGCAAAGATTGTAGTGATTTTTAATAGTTGAATTCATGACTCGATTTAAGCTAGACCATCCCGTATGAGGGGTCGTGAATATACACTGCTGAGGAGTCCCATGCTAGGACGAAATGACTGTCCAGTGCTTCCAAGTTTTCAGTGGTAGTCTAGCTTAAATCGACTCATAAATTCAATTATTAAATATTTCATAATAATTATTAATGTAATTCTATAACTGAGTACCTATCTTCTCTCTTATTTAGAATCAGTTATTGATAACTACTGAAAAGATAATCCAATCATTGCTTGAAACATATCAACTATTACCTGTGATTGAATCAGCTGAATCAATTTCTTATAGTATCAATGAAACAGTAATAGCTAGTCAAATTATTAATGTACAACAGAAAACACTTCAACAAGATGTGAACAGTTATATTGGTGAATTACGTGGTTATGCTAATATATTGAATAAAACATTAGATTCAATATGTGAAAAGTTGAATGAAAATACTTTAGAAAAAGTGACATGTAGACAGTTACAAGTAAGTTAATTTCATTAGCGGTTAGTATATAGAAATTGAAGTGAAAATGTTTTCAAGTTTTAATTAGATGGTTTATGGAAGATGGTAAACTGTATTCATCACCAACCTTAAAAGTACTGAAAGTTCGGGAGCATTGGAAAGATGTTTTGTTATGCTATAGGATACGTTATTATTCACAACTTAACAGTGATTAAAGCAAAGCGATCTCGAGAGTTTTAAGAGGTGTGTAGAGAGTTGACACTTCCCTGTTGTTTATATTACACATGGGTATCTCATGTTGAGGTATCTGGAAAGGAAACTTGATCAACATTGATCTTCAAAACCTGAGAATGTGATAGGAAAACTTAAAGTATAACTTATCGAGACCGATTACACACTGCCTTTATATGAGTAGTTATTAATGTATAATATCTGTACTTTAAAGACTTTATCACAGTGGACGAAGAAATTGGGACAGGATTGACTGATCTATTTTTAGAATGACACATTTTAAACCGTTTCTTCCGTTCAGGGAAGGTAGCATCGCTGCAAATACTAGTTATCCGAGGGAAACACCTAACAGCCATAAAAACTTAGTACATTTAAACGTGCAACATCTCATTCGGACAATAAGTAGACACTTATTGTTTTATCGTTTTTCGACCGATCAACCTAGCATGGTAGTATATAAAGGATTATGTGTTATAGTCAAAGCAAATGACATACTAATTTACAAATCAGCTACCTACTACGTTAATTTATAGTTGAGCCACCTTATGTTAATGAATTCGAGATATTTTGAATCAAACACGATTGACGTTCACTGATGTATTTTTCATCTTCATTCATTAAGTACTGGAATGCTGCACCTACACTTCAATATTTAGTGAATACTTTCCAGAAATTTCATATAATTCTCCTCATTCACAGATATGAATTGTTCAAGCAATAAATTGATATTAGCTAGGTCGTCATCGAAATCTGGGAGTAATGAACGATCGTTTAATCCTAATATGAGACATCTCAACCATGAGTATCACAATCACCGAACTGGGAATTATTTGGTTGTCTAGTTAAGATTAGGTCATGATTGAAACTATGAAAATCCACTAATCTCTACAATCATCTCCCCTATACTAAGAAATTTAAATATGGTTTCTCATCAAATGATTACAATCTAAACATGATAGAATTATTCAGTAAAAATTAGTATGCCTACTTTACACTATACTACTAGGAATGTTCTCAATGACGATTAACTCAGAGGGAGAGAGAGCGAGAGAACGAAAGTATGGAAGAATTATAAAAGATGTGTAAATGGTTGAACATTTCAATGTTAAATAAAGTAAGAGTTCCGGGAGAAAATTTCTCTGACAAACGCACTGAGACAAGTAAATGAAAAAAAATAGATGTTTAAATTTACATTATAACAACAACAAAAAAGGGATGATTATGAGAATAAAATGAGTGAATTTACTTACTTACATACTTACACCTGTTACCCTTCAGGAAGGAGCATAGATCGAACACCAACATTCTCCATCTAATTTTATCCTGGATAATTCTTTTCAGTTGTTTCCAGTTGCTATTCATCTTTTTTTTCATTTCTGCTTCCAATTTCTGACACAATGTGTTCCTTGGTCTTCTTCCAATCTAATCAAAGGAGTAAAGCTCTAGAAAGTATGAAAAAAAAACTAATTATTTGTTTATGAATAACTTTCAGTGATTTTTTTTTAAGCCTAAACGTTATTTTCATTGACAAACGAATGATATATGATTGAACTAATTGATGAAATAGCGTGTCTATCTTCCATTGTTTTCGGTGGATAACTGTCTCACACCCAATACGGATTAGCATCACAAATCATAAATCACAAATCTCAGTAGAATTTTGAGAACTACCTGTCGAAGCTAGTCAATGGTCAGTATATGATAACTATAGGATTATGGAGATGGTTGAGTTTTGATTGAGATCATAAATCAATTAAATTTAACGCACCATTGAAAACCTAGATGCACTGGGTGTCTGTTTCGTCCTAGTATGTGGCTCTTCAACAGTAAACATCTATGATTTATGATCTTAATCAAAACTCAACAATCTTCACAACTGATATGATCGAATTTTTAAAGACATGTTAACTTTTTAGTATTAATTTCTGAGAAATGTGCAAATGAACTCTGCCTTCACTTTTTTTAATGTATGTACTTTGGCATTCACTTGGCATTCACTAGTAAACGTAAATATTATTATTGAAATCGATCCAGTTTATTAACCAATCAAAAAAATCATAAACAGATATAAGATCACAAATCAAATCAAACGGAGATACATAAAAATGTTTCATAAATGTTTTCTATACTTTTTCTTCAAGTCCCTAAATTTCTCTTTCTCTCTCTACATTAGTCTTGATTGAGGAGAACATTCTCAATAGTATGGTTTAAAGCAGACAAACTAATTTTTATTGAATAATTCTATCATGTTTAGGTTGTGATCATTTGGTGAGAAACCATATTTAAATTCAATAGTATAGGGGAGATGATTGTAGAGATTAGTGGATTTTCATGTCTTGATTCAAACTAGATCGTTGATCTTGGATATACACTTCTGAATTATCTCCTACTAAGACGAGATTGTCATCTAGTGCTTTCAGATTTTCAAAGAATGATCAAGCATAAATCAATTCGTAAATTTAATAATATTATTTCAATAGTTTAGATCATGAGTTCATTGAAACTAAACCACCATAGAAAACTTAACATCACTGGATGGCCGTTTCGTTCTATCATTCACGATCCTACCTCCTGAGATTCCAACCTACGACCTATAAGTCTCTCATGCGAGCACTTAATCACTAGACCACTGAGTCAGCCGATATCGAACCATGTTAATGTCTAACTTCAACTAATCCATGAAATTAAGCGACACATCCACTATTGTCATCATTGAGGTACTATCTCAAGACAGCCCCCGTTAAACTCCACTAGTCACTGCATCCACTGTTTCCATGGTTATCTAGCTTGCATTGCACTCATCATCCCAACTATTGAAATTACTACAATCTCCACAAAACCCCCTTCTGATTATAATTATTATGATTATCATTTTTACAATATAAATTAATCAATAATTATTGATTGATTTATTGATTTTTTTCTATTTCAGTTCAATAATTCCATTTTATTAATCAATGTTGATACAAAATTATTTGAATTTGAATCCAGTTCAATTTTAGTATTTTTAATGAATGATTTAAATATTAGTTTAAATTCAATAACTGATCAATTTAATTTAATTCAAAATTTATTAAATTTAAAAAAAGATGAAGTAATTCAAAGTGTAAGTGATTTTTGTTTTGTTTATATAAATAAATAATAATTCAATAATCAATAATTTATTTTGGTTGAGATCATGAATCAATTGATGTTAGACCACCGTTGGAAACCTGGAAGCACTGGACGGCCGTTTCATCCTAGTATGGGACTCCTCAGCAGTGCGCATCCACGATCCCGCGAGCGGGATTCAAACCCAGGACCTACTGACTTCGCGACTGAGCACTTAACCATTAGACCACTGAGCCGGCATCCAATGGTGTTAGTGTCTAACATCAACCAATCCACGAAATTGCGCGACCAACTTCCATTGTACTGAGGTAGATACCTGTCTCTACCCGACACGGATTAGCTCCACAGGTCAAGACTTCTCACTAGAACTCCGAGAATTCCCTCACGAAGCTAGTCACTAGTGAGCACATGTTAATTATCAGTATGAAGGTTGTGGAGATTGTTAAGATTTTGGTTGAGATCATGAATCAATTGATGTTAGACCACCGTTGGAAACCTGGAAGCACTGGACGGCCGTTTCGTCCTAGTATGGGACTCCTCAGCAGTGCGCATCCACGATCTCGCGAGCGGGATTCGAACCCAGGACCTACTGGCTTCGCGCCTGAGCACTCACATCAATTGATTCATGATCTCAACCAAAATCTTAACAATCTCCACAACCCTCATACTGACATTAATTTATTATTTTGAATAAAGAAGAATCATGAAAGTAATTCAACTGTTGAATTAACATCAATTGAATATCGGTCAATTTAATGATCTCACATATGAGATTGATAGATACTGGGTTGGAATCTCTTATGGCAGGATTATGGATACATACTACTGAGAAGTTATACAATAAGACGAAATGGCCGTCTAGTGATTTCAGATTTTTCATGGTAGTCTAGTTTCAATTAACTCATGATCATAATTATTAAAATTATTATAATATTCACAAAAACTCCTTCTGACATGTATAAATAAATCACTTTTGGCGGTCTGTATTCGATACCATCCTTTATAAACTTTGTATAATATTCGTCTTGATAATCGTTACTATATAATGCCTTCCCTCCCACACACACACAAACACATAATGGTGTATAAATCAGAAGATTAATAACGAAGTGTTGATTACATTGATTATTGTATCACACACATAGATTACCAAAACCACAGGTACATGAAGTAAGAATGATATGCGAGTGCCAAACAATAAGCGAGCAAGTCAATGAACAGGATTAAAATGTACATATATATACAACAACAATAATAATAAAAGTACAATCGTATAGATAAGTTGTTGTTGTTGTACGAATGACTCCATCCATTAAATAAGTCAATAAATGGGGTAAACCAAATTAAATATGAACAAACTCAATTGTATATGAATTACTATACATTATTTTATTTGAAGAGATTAGTTTACCTTGTCACTTGTATTTATCACTCACTTGATTTCATTTAAAGTAGTATGAATAATTACAGAATAATAGATAACTGTTTCTCTCTAATATACCCCCAATCTTTCTAATGATCGAATTCAGGATATTTGGGTCGTGTCAATTCAATACTTTTAATTGTTAATCATTTACTATGAAACTTGAAAACCTTATCCTTAGACATAATTGTTGAATGATCTGATAACAGAATAGAGCAATTATTCATTATTTACTGGTTGTCATTAGTATTTTAAGCGAGATCAATATATGACAAACATTTACAGGTTACATTATTTACAAAATATATTCTCTTCACTAAACACACATATTTTGTAATTGTTTTGTGGTGTGAGCTACTTATATTGATATAAGTAGTATATAACGTGCGTTATTGAGATGGTGGAGAAGATTTGTAGCTCAGGTGCGTTAAAAGGACGTTATGTCTGGCAGCAGAAAATGGAGAAGATCAAGAAAGGAAGAGCAAGAACACAATGGAATTTGTAAGAAATCGCATGAACAATGAAATGGGAGACAATGGATTAGTGTTTGCAACGGGAACAGTACAGTTTGATATGATGCCTTGATAATTTGCAAATTGACGAGTGACTTTATGGTATTCACATTTTGTTGAGATAGTCTGTAATTTTGTGCAAAATACATTCGATTGTCCCCACCAGTGTTCTCGTTCACTACAGTTTAATTGGCTAATTAAACAATTGCTATTTAGTAATTTAATTAATTGAGTTCATGAGTTAATTAAAGCTAGACCACCATGAAAAAACCTGAGAGCACTGAATGGCTGTTTCGTCCTATTGTGGGACTCCCCAGCAGTGCCTATCCATGACCCCGCCTAGCGAGATTCCAACCTAGGACCTATCGGTCTCGCGAGCGAACACCTAACCCCTAGATCACTGAGCTGGCCAGAATCCAACAATGTTAATGTCTCACTCCAACCAATTTAGTAGTTGGAAATTAATAACATATCTATCATAATGATATTTGATGTCATACATTTTAACATTGTATTTGATTTAATCTCAGTAACTGAAATCCAACTAATTCCAACAATGATTTATCAACAAGGTTGTCTAGTTAAAAGTCTGTTGGGGATGATAGATCCCCAAACTCATATTTTTAAATTTTATCCTATCGATCAACTTATTGATTAAATGTTTGTATAGCAGTCAGTTTATGAACCTATACAATTAGATGTGCAAGTAGGTCAATTGATGAACTATCGATTAGATGTGTTTAAAATATTTCTATGACAATATCGATTGTTAATATTATATAAATACGCGTGAGTTGTGTGTTTGACTTGACTTGTTATCTGCTGTGTGTCTGCAGAATACACTTCTACACCTTACTCAGACTTCTTGATCGAGTTAGCAGAGTTGGGGGACAACGAACCAGAATAGCTATCGAGTCACTGATCCTTCGTTCGTTGAGTAAGACGCATCAGTAATAGCATTCAAGCGAATAACAAACCATAACAAAGTCAAGATAAAAAAATTCTTCAATGAATATATCATGTTTACAAACTAAATCTACACTAAAACCCTTATCCAATCAATCGGAGATAATGATTTTGATAAATCAAGAAAATATGAATCATAAAATGCGTGCAGTGTTCCCAATGTAATTTCAAGAGTTCACAAAAATTTCAAAAATTTAATGTGTGAAAATTTACTGAGTTAAAAAAGTATGATGATTTAAGGGAACGAAACTATACTGACAGCCTCGAGTGGATCTAAATGATCAATCAATCAGATATAAAATTTCGTAACTGAAATGGATATAAGTATGGGGTTGCAGAGATAGTTGAGTTTTTATAGAGATCATGAAGTGGTCAATCCTAGACCATCATTAAAAACGTGGAAGCACTGGACGGTTATTTCATTTTATTAGGAGCATCATCAGCAGTCTACATCTATGATCTTGCACGTGCAACTCAAACCTAGGGTCATGGAAATGAACCGCTGAGGAGTCTCTTCCTAGAATAAAACGTCCATCCTGTGTTTCCAAGTTTTCGATGGTGATCTAACTTAGATCGACTGTTGAACTCAATGCAATCAATATCACAGAATAAAATTAAAATTAAAATGAATGTAGAGTTTTTAAACGCTAATATCGTAAATATTTTTACCATAACTCTAACACTTTTAAAACATCCTCATCTATCAACATCGTGACTTCTCTTCACATCATTTCTTGACAACACCTAATAAGTTAGGTATTTTTTCCCCAATAGTTCAACAATATGAAGATGATCATTGATCATATCATTATGCAGATTAGTCAAAATGCAAAATCTCATCAAAAAAGTGATATCTATTGTATTCAGTCATCGTAATTGTTGTGCCGGAAAATCAAAAAACGCTGATCACTTATACTCGGAATGAGGTACCTCGGCCATTCCCGCGATGCGAAAGTATGAACACAAGACTGGTATAAGTGAATATTTATTAGCCTCAAAACACTATGACAACGACGATGATCAAAATAGTCTAAAATACACTGGTTTATATATTGATTGTACACCCATTTTGATTAATAATTAGGATTACATCATATACTCAGTTATAACAAATCACTTAATGAGGATACTTCATGTCAAGTGAATACAAGAATATCGTATATTATACAGAAGAAAATATCATACGTGGAAACAAAATCAAATACTACACTGAATGATCGTCACGTTGAATCAAAACGGTTGTCATATTGAATAAAACTCATAAATGAATAAATCAATCGAAAATTGACTTTTCTTTTCATCATATCAAGCAATAATTAATCTAATGTGTATAATTCGGATCCTAACCATATCCAGTTACAAGATATCTGTAATTTAGTCAATTAATGTTATCTTTATTTTGATTGGTTAATTTCATTTGTTTCAAAGCTATCAGTTTGGTATTTAATATAAGAGGAATGATCAATTAACAAAAAGATCCCAATAATGTAATATTTATCATAATTGAGGGGATGGGGAAAACTATTTCTTCTAGAATGAATACTTTTAACCTGCGTTTTTCTTAATGATTTCTGTTTCAGGGAAAAGTAATAAACTTGTCTTGTCTTTCACCAGTATGGGGGTTGTGGAGATTATTAAGTTTTTTGATTGAGATAATGAATCAATTGGTGTTAGACCACCGTTGGAAACCTGGAAGCATTAGACGGCTGTTTCGTCCCAGTATGGGACTCCTCAGCAGTGCGCATCCACTATCCCGCCCCCCGCGAGATTCGAGCCCAGGACCTATCAGTCTCGCGCCAGGCGCTTAACCAACTAGACCACTAAGCCGGAATCCAATGGTGCTAGTGTCTAACATCAAACAATTCACATGGATCGTGGATGCGCGTTGTATTGTTTTGTTGATGAATTGTTTTGAAAGCATTAATAATAATGTTATCTATCGTTTAGAGCCGTAACAACGTTTAGTCTCAAGTTCTATTACACCATAGCTATGAAATATAAACATGTACTCATTTCTCTACTCTTCTAAAAAATATGTGGTTTGTGTTATAACTTATGACCGCTGATTAGAAGGCAGTGACTTATCAATCGGACCAAGGATGCGTAGACCCATATTAACAGTCTAGAGTCCTGATTGGTCCTGCCTTCAGTCTAGCCCAGCCACTTAAGTCCAGAACACCAATCTCAGCCTCTGATATATGAATCCTTATATTTCAAACATACTGGATTTATATACCAATCAAACAGACCACAACATAGCATAAAATAGAAAATAACATTTGTACAAAATTCGGCCAAATGTGGCTATGAATATGGTAGGCAGGGACTAATAGACAGGGCATAATTCAAGAATGGTAAAACGTATAATAATAGTTCATAGGTTAAAATAAAGCTTATAATAAGGGGAATATGAATAGTTTAGTTATTTAACAATTATACGATAAAAATATACATATAGTATTGGTTCATAAATGGATCCCAAAGTCACTATTCGTTATGTTTAACAATTTAAGACATAAATCCTAATTGATATTTAAAATTGAAGACAATAGGAAAGAGTAAATTTGTCAGATTTTATTTATCTTAGGAAACAGTTTATGTTATATGAATAACCTTACCGATACAGTGGTAACCTTCAATGGTGTATTAATTATGTAATGTAATAAATTCAATATCATTGAAAACAATTTGTAAAAATTAGTTTTCTTTTCAATTATATTATATTCTGTAAGCAATGATGGATAGTGGCTAACAGTAAAATCCAGAATGCGCATTTCATCCTATTTGGTATTCGTCACCTGAATGTATTAGTATCGCAGAGTTGATGTTTACTATGGGACATAAAACCAGTACCGTTCGGTTTGAACACCATCCTACTATCCACATAGCTACTAAGTTCTAATAGTCACTTGCATGTGCAATATGATGAAATTTAAATTCACTTAATCCCAGAGTAAATATCAACTCATGAAATGTAGGTACATCAAGCTGACAAGTTCTAAATAGTGCAAAATACTCATCTTGGATTCCACTACTAGCCACGACCTATCTTAGCTTATAAACCTGACATTAATTTTATTGATCACATGTGTTCTCTCTTCTTCTTCTTTTTGTTTTTCTTCATTTAGATGAAATCAACATTTAATTTGAATGATTACTTCAATCTATTTAGATCGATATGGATATTATTACAACAAAATATTGTGGATAAATTAAATTCATATTTAACTATCAATAAACAACAAGAAATTGATTATTATTTAAAATTAATTAGTTATGTAATATCAATCATTGGTTATGTAATTATTACATTGATATTAATGTTAATTACATTCTTCTTAATTTATTGTATACTTTATATAGTTGATATTTATAATAGGGATTTATTTACTAAACAAAATGATATAAAATGTAAGTTTTTCTTTTTCTTTAATATTTGAATATGATAGGTTTTTGTTAGAAAGGGATTTTTGTGAAGAGATTGTTGTCATTTTAATAGTTGAATTAGATGATAATTGGAGGTAGTCGACAGGCAATCCTGGACTTGGGTTTCGTGCTACTTGGCACTCACCAGCAACGTGTACCTGTAATCTTGAGGGAACTGGTGCTTCCTGGCGGGTTCGATCTCGAGTCACCCAGCTTCACAGTCAGAGACGTTACCCCTGAGCTATCCGAGCCGCGACCGTTTTCCTGTAGGAATGAGATGTAATCACTGCAGGAAGCACCAGTTCCCTCAAGATTACAGATACATCTTGCTGACGAGTGCCAAGTAGCACGAAACCCGAGTTCAGGGTTGCCTGTCGACTACCTCCAACCACCATCTAAAATCTTAATACATAGTGCCCTCAGTGTCGAATCACCTAGACTAGTGGCCACATTGCAACATGATCGATAGCATTCAATCTGCACTAATAAGAACTAGACACACATGACATTGATCGCCACTCAGTGATCAATCAATTGTGATTAATAATCATGTATTACTTTGTTTATATATCTCTCTTCATTGTTTTATTCTTTTTTTTTTGTTTTGTTTACAATTCTATATTTCAGATAATCCATCTCAATTATTTACATTACAAATTCAAGGAGAATTTCATAAGAAATTATTTCTTCTTCAATTAAATCGTTCTATCTATTTACCACATATTATTAATTATAAATATATTCAATATTTAATTCTAATTGCTTTCATTATAAGTTTATTATTTAGTATGATTTTATTTATTCTTTATATAATTTTACCATTATTCATTTTATTCGATACAGAATTATGTCGTTATGTGAATACAGATTCTGGTATATTAATTACAGATTTTATACTTGATTTATATATACAATATCAATGGTCAAATTTTACATTATTATTAAATAATAATATATTAAATTATATTAATTTATCTCCACCAAAACATATTTATTCAACAATTCGTAATAAATGTCAACCAATTATGTATAATAATTATGATCTAAATATTACTACTACTAATACTACTGATAATACTACTAACAATACTACTAATACTACTAAATAGTAATAATAATAATAATCGTACATATAATAATTATAATTTATTAAAATTACTTAATTATAGTCAAATTATTAATTTTGATAAACTTTTATATTCATCCATAATTCAAGAGAAAATTAAAGATGCAGAAATGTATGTGATAAAATTTTCATTAAATTCTATTATTTATGATTTAAATGTGATTAATTATTGAATAATGATTTATATTTGTTGTTTTAATGGATTTATCATTGAAGATATTGATTATTATGAGTATGGGCTTTATCAAGAGTATTAAGTTATCTGATTTAGATCATGAATTGATTAATGTAAATGTGTACTGATGAAGAGTTTCACAATATGGACGAAACGGTCATCCAGTACTTTAAAGTTTTTAATGGTGGTTTAACATCAAATGTTTCATGGTGTCAATCAAAAATTTAATAATCTTCAGTTTAAGGATTGTGGAGATTATTAAATTTTTTTTGATTGAGATCATGAACCGATTGATGTTAAGCCACCATTAAATTTTTTTAAAGTACTGGATGACCGTTTCGTTCTATTGCGAAACTCTTCATCAGTACACATTTACATCAATCAATTCATTATCTAAATCAAACACCTGATAATCTTTATAAACCCGTGATCAATGGACCTAATCCGTGTCGGGTAGAAACAGGTATCTACCTCAGTACATTGGAAGATGGTTGTGCGATTTCATGGATTAGTTGAGATTAAACATTAACACCATAGGATGCCGTCCAGCTCAGTGGTTTAGTAGGTTAGACGTTTGTGCGCTAGACTGAAGACCATGGGATTGATTCCCGAGAGCGGAATCGTAGATGTACACTGTTAAGGAGTCCAACAATAGGACGAAACGACCGTTCGGTGCTGTCAGGTTTTCAATGGTGATCTAATACCAGTCAATTCATGATCTCAATCAAAAACATATGTCACTATTCAATAATTGATCAATGAAAGATATTACAGTCTAGTTCAGTAGTAAAGTTTAAAGCAGTGAGGCTAATCAACATTAGAGCGCATCGGTCAGAGAGCATTAAGTCCTTCAAGATTACAGATGCACCTTGCTTACAGATGCCAAATAACGTGAAACTTGGGTTCACTGTTTCCTGTCATCTATTTCAAATCTCTTAACTTTATGTTATTTCACAACTGTGTAAATGAAAGAGTTATTTACTTATTTTACTTACGTCTGTTACCCATCATGGAAGAGGATAAACCGGTCATCAGTAGTCCCCATCCAATTCTCTCCTGAACAATTCTTTCCAGTTGTTTCCAGTTGTTATTCATTATTTTCATGTTTACTTCCGATTCCCAGCACAATGTATTCTTCGGCCTTCTACTTTTCCGTTTCCCTTCAGGATTCCAACTTAACACTTGCTTCATAATACAGTTTGATGATTTCTTCAATGTAGATTCTATCTACTTCCATCGTCTTTTCCTAATTTCTTTTCAATTGGAAGTTGGTTTGTTTTCTCTCATAGTAAGCTGTTAAGCTAAAGTAGCAATTAAAGTAGAATAAATTGATTTCATTTTATTACGTGATTTCTCTATAACCGTTCACAACTGCATTCGTATTGAAGTGTAACATTGTTATATAAAATAGTGTGAAGTAATGGACATGACTGACCGTAACATTTAGAATAACAACGGTTCTTAGCGATACCTCTCTCCATATATATATATATATATATATTCATGTGTATATAGGTGTCAGGTCAAGTGAAGAAGGGATTCAAAAGTATAGGGAGGTGACCCAGTATTTCACTGGAAATGTTTATTCGTTACTACTTCATCGATATGTAAAGAAACTGTTAATTTATCTGTTGATAATTTGTAGGGAGTGCCAAGTGTCAATAATATTACTTACTTACGACTATTACCCCTCGTGGAGTAGTATAGACCATCAACCTTCATTCCCCAACCAACTGTCCTTTCCTCTACTTTCCACTTGTTACCGAGCGTTATTCATTCTTTTAATGTCTGCTTCCAATTCCTGAAACAATGTGCTTGTTGGTTTACCTCTCATCCTTTTCCCTTCAGGATGACAAGCTAAGGCTTGTCTTGTGTTGCAGTTGGATGATTTTCACAATGTATGTCCTATCTAGTTCCAACGTCCTTCCCTAATTTCCTCTTGAATTGGAAGGTGGTTTGTTCTCTCACACAGTAGGTTGTTACTGATGGTATCCAGTCTACGGATACTGAATACCTCGTGTAAACAATTAATAATAAATACTTGTACTTTTTGATAATGGTAATGGTACTTCTCCAAGTTTTAGCACCATATAGTAGAAATGCTTTGATGTTTGTAATAAAGAATCTGACTTTGGTATTGGTTGATAGTTGTTTTGATTTCCACATGTTCTTTAGTTGTAGGAATGCTGCTCATGCCTTTCTAGTCCATGCCTTTATATCTTCATTATATAATATACCTGCAACCAATGAAGTATCGAGTTATTACATTGTTTAGATCTGTTATAACTTTTAATTTAATTGTCATCAATTCTTTATTCATTTTTTAGTTTGTGAACTTTGTTTTTTAAATAGCTCATCTGTAAATAAAATCATTAATATGGACCTTGCGAAATTCATTCCGTCTGATTTGGATAGTTTAACATCTATTGCTAGAAAATTATCTGTTTATCTAGACGGTAAAGACTACAAAGTAAGTTATTATCGTGAATGGCTGATTCTGATTATTTGTTATTGCTCTATGTATTTCGTTAACATAAATGAATAATCACTATAGGGTTGTGGGGACTATTAAGTTTTTGATTTAGATCATGAACTGATTGGTGTCAGATCACCACTGAAAACCTGGAAGCACTGGAAGGCCGTTTCGTCCTATTGTGGGACTGTTCGGCAGTGCGACCACGATCCCGTCCGCGGGATTCAATCCCAAAGCTATTAGTCTAGTGAGAGAACGCTTAACCTACTGGAACTCCGAGGTGACCGGCATCCAATAGTGTTAATGTTTAACCTCAACCAATCCACGAAATTGCGCGACCATCTACCATTGTAGTGAGGTAGACACCTGTTTCTACTCGGCACGAATTAGTTCCACTGATCTCAGCTTCTCACTAGAACTCCGAGAATCCCCCACGAAACTAGTCACTTGTGAGCACATGATAACTGAATAAATCTATTTCATTAAAACACAATTGTATGAACGAAGAATATAATGTGAATTTTCCAGCGATTAAAATCTATTTCAGTTGTTAGTCATATTGAGTAATGGATAGAGACATGTAGGAAGTTGTCAATTCATAGTTTTTCTCCCCATGAGAGAATATTTCTTTTTGTGAGACTTAAGAAGTAATCTGGTTTACAAGTGGTTCAGACTACCTTAAAGCATGACCTCAGTTTTTGTTAGGTCCCGATAAGCATAATGGAAGGTAACTTTGGGATCCATTTATGCACCAATACTATACGTATATTTTTATCGTATAATTGTTAAATAACTAAACTATTCATATCCATATTCCCCTTATTATAAGCTTTATTTTAACCTATGAACTATTATTATACGTTTTACCATTCTTGAATTATGCCTTGTCTATTAATCATTGCCTCCCACATTCACAGCAACATTTGGCCAAATTTTGTACAAATGTTATTTTCTATTTTACGCTACGTTGTGGTCTGTTTGATTGGTATATAAATCCAGTATGTTTGAAATATAAGGATTCATATTGTAGAGGCTGAGATTGGTGTTCTGGACTTAAGTGGTTGGGCTAGGCGGAAAGCAGGACCAATCATGACTCTAGGCTGCTCGTCATTGATCCGATCAATAAGTCACTGCTCCCCAATTGGCGGTATTATTACGTATACATTACGAGGGCACATAGCCCACAATTTATAACGGTTTTCAAGTGATAACCGTTTTGATTTGGGTCATAAGCATCCTTTTTTGTGAGTAGACTTAGATGAATTATGTTATAACTTTCATTTAGCCCTAGTCAGTAGATAGACATTCTCAAGGTTACTTTAACATCGCTCAAAGATCATTCACAAATCATCGTTTTACTGATATTTCTCATCTAATGAATTAATTAACAGTTTTACAGTAAATAGCTTCTTTTCCATATAGAGTGATCATCGAACTTTATATTCTGCGAATTCCTCCAGTTAATGCAAACCGAATTTTTTAAAGTACTTTTATATTTTTATAATATCTTGATTAGTTGCTAATTGAGATTTTTTTAAAAAAAACTTTTCATGACTTTAGAGAGTAAGTCACTGAATTCTGTTGTTAACAATCGATTCAGTACTTAATTTATACCAAATTATTATTTCAAATATTGATAAAGTTGATTATTATCAAGTTTGTATTTTAATTATGTTTCTTATACACTGAAAATAGTCTACAATTTTTCTAATGAAATAAACGACTGAGATGTATTTGCAATGAATTACCATGCGGATGAATAGTTGCTTAAATTTCTTACTTGATAATAAGATGATCGACAAAATGATTTTTGAGTGACTACTTTAATCCTTAGAAGTTAATCATTTCAGTTTAATCATTGTATGAGGTTCTTTTGAAAATAGGAGTGCTAATGACATATGTCTTATCTGTATATTGTTTTCTACTACGAGATAAACCTCTACACATTTTCATAAATCTGTCAAATCATCAAGATTCAAATACTGTTTATTAAACCATTTTATTAAATAAAACTCAGCAATTTTCATAACTTCATACTGACTGTTATAATTTGCTCAATGGTGATTAGCCTTGAGAGAAAATTCCTGGAGTTCTAGTAAGAAACGGTGACTAATCAAGTTTAGTTAAATCGGGTGTAGGTGGATAATACAAGATGGTTGTTCAATTTCGTTGGTTGATTGATACCGACTTAGTGGTCTAGATGTTAGACATCTTAAATAGAGATTATACGTCCTAGATCCGATGTACGAATGAACGGTCGTGGATGTCCACTGTTGAACGGTTCCTTGATAGGAAGAGAATCGGTCTTTCAATGTTACCTTAACATCATCTGAACATAAGACATTCCTTAATACCTTAAAGCTCTTGGAGTGATTATTGAACAATAAACGCCCTGTACTCATAATTTTACTGAAGCTACGAGGATCATATATTGAAAATCTGACTTATGTCGTCAAATGAAAACAATCGTCGTTATCTCCTTACTTTGACAACATGAATTCTATCATATAGTTATGTCACGTTTTAGATTCTTATAGTTTAATAATTTTGTTTTCAATTAACTGAGTTTTACATCATTCTATTTTGTTTGCCAATAACGTTTATGTATTGCGTAATTAATTGTTTCTAACCATTATCAATATCCCAGAATATTCTCCTGTACGTGATGTTTACTTGCATTATTGTATTTAGTTAGATAATGGCTAGCAGTGGAATCCAGGATGAACGTCTCGTTCTATTTGGGACTCATTACCTGGGTGTACCTGCATCCCTGGGACTCGAACCCACTACTATCATTGCCTTATCCACTTAACTAATGAGTCCTAATAGAAACCTGCTTGTACAATGGAGTGAAGTTTTAAATTCACTTGATGTTGTTTACTTGTATCTTCCCATGGATGTTCAGGACTGGAATTGATTAGTCTCTCTTTAGTTTATGTACATCCTGTGTATCCAGCTGACGAGCCCCGAATAGGACGAAACACGCGTCCTGGATTCCACTGTCATCCACTACCCATCTTTTCTTAAAAAGCTTGTGAATTAAGACAATATCGAAGCAATCCGTGCAGGATGCACATATGCCAACAAGAGACTAATCAATCACAATCCTAAATAACAATCATAAGATCCAAATAAACAACACCAAGCAAATTGAACATGTAACCATTTGTATATCATTCATTTAGATAAGTTTTCATTTTATGTATTTTCTTTTCTTTGCTTTCTTCTTCTTCTTCTTCTTCGTCTTCTTCAATCTCTTTATCAATGAATAAGCCTACTATTCAAGAAATTATTCATTTTATATCAATCAAATCAAATTTATTAAATTATTTAAATGAAATTAAAAAATTTATACAATTCAATGAAACTATGTTTAATTTAATCAATATTATTGATCAGATCAATAATTCATTAATTATATATGATCAAATTACTAAATCAATTAATCCATTAATTGATTTATTTGAAAAACTTGAAATTAATAAAAATTTAACACAACGACTTGATCAAATATTGAATGGATTAAATAACTTTAAAAATGTAAGTAATTCATTATTTGATAAATAATTTGTATTGATTATTGAATTTCAATAATTAAGATCCTGAATTAATTAAAGTTAGATCATTATGAAAAACTTGAAAATTACTGGATGATTGTTTCATTCTATAGAATTATTATTATGTCATTTAAGACCAGCTAGTTATTACGTCATTTATTCGCCAACTGACATACAACTTATTCAATCTTACTATTGCATTAAACCAATGATGTTTGTCCGATTTCATCAGCCTAACATCCTATCAATCCGTTACTCGTCTAGTCCATCCAATTGAGTCCAGAATGTCAATTGCAACCTCTATTATGCGAATCATTTATTCCAGATATACTGGGGTTTATGTATCAATCAAACAGACTGAAATGCACCATAAAATACGAAATAACATTTATACATAATAAAGCTAATGTGGGAGACTCTAGTTAATAAACTAAACATAACTTAAGAACAGTAAACCGTATCATAATAATTTATAGGTCAAAATGAACCTTATAATAAGATGAATATAAACAAACACACACTGAATAGTTATACCATAAGAATATACAGATAATATTAGTCCAAGTGGTAGCTAGTTGAACAACATCTTTTCTATTCGGACTGTTCTGATTAGCATATATATACAGCGCTTCTGATATCGATCTTTCTTTACGTGAGCCAAACTCTTCCTGAAGCATTTTGATCCCTTCATAATTGATCTTGTGATCTGTTTCTAATATATGTAAAGCTATCATCAACCTTTTCATAAGTTTCTTCAGATCAACCGAGGATTTGGGAACACGCTTCAAATATTATTTGTTTTACTCCAACTACACTTTCAAATGTCTGGATGTTTCTCCCACATAAACTGCATCGGAATCATGACCGCTGATCTCATTGAAAATATTCTGTCTTTCTTCCTTTGGAAACATACCCTAAACTTTCACTAATGTTGACCTTATGGTATCACTATCCCTAAAATACACTCTTATATTATACATGTACCGATAACCTATCGCTACATTTTTGGATTACCTAATTGTATAGCCAAGATACAATTTATTTTTTCAGTATAGGGTTGTGGTTTTTGCTTTTTTAATCGAAATCATGAATCGATCCTTGATGTACTACTATTGAAGACCTGTAAGCATTGAAAGGACATTTCATCTTAATATGAGACTCCTGAGCAGTGTTCATTTATAGTCTCGCATACGGGACTCGTCAGTCATCTTCAACGTAGGAGCAGGCACAAATATGCATTGGTTCAAGTTGCCATACCTCATTAAAACAACAAGATGAACACCGAAATTCATAGAAGTAATTAATTCAATGGTGGTAATATATAAAGAAACATTGCATTTAAGGACATAAATACAGGAAGAAAGAATTAGTTAGTAGAAAGAAAGATATAAAACGATTTCAATCTCATCGTTTATACGAAAACAAAATATGTATACATCTACACCATTTTAATTGATTCTAAGCTCAAGACCTTCAATCTTATTCATAAGCTTAACCTCTAAACTACTAAGCCAACATTCAACATTGTTCATATCTAAATTTAACTTTGAATAACTAGCATGATTGATGAAGAGTGCTGTTAGAGGTATGAGGTCAGTTATCACTTCCCGGTTGCCCACACCATGGAAGGGTTCTTCTGGAGGTACCTGAAAAGGAAATTGCATTAGAGGTGGTTTTAGTGACCTAAGAGCGTTCCCAAGGGACAACTGCTTGAGATCGGTCACACATGACCTTTTTATGAGTAATTTTTGTGTTAGCTCCGTACTTGTTGAGACCTTACCGCCGGAGACGGATATCCGTGGGATAAGGCGAGGTGGGCATTTTTAGGGTCGACCTTTTCTAACCCCATCCTTCCTTGTGGGACGGCAGCATCGCTGTCATGCTGGTTGTCTGAAGGAAACACCTTACTGCTGTCACACCTCTGTACAGTCAGCAGTACGACTTCGCCTTCGAAACTTGGGTTTGTTGCTTTTTTAGTCTTACCGCTCTTCAACCAACCTGTCTGACATGGTAGAACCTTGAGGAATGATTGTTCCAGTCAGTATAGCTCGTTTTGCTTCATCAAAACAAGCAAGCCCGACCATCACGTCAAAGTAGCAACAACAGTCAGGACATGATTGATGTGTACCATTCAAATAGTCAATCATTCTATTCACTTTTATGATATCTTACATCTTTTTTTTCCTTCCTTTCATAGATTTCATCTGATCATCAAAGGTTAAGTGAATCTATACATTTAATATTTAATTCATCTATTCAATCTTTATTAAATCATACAATTACATTATTAAATAATCAATTTGAACAATTATTTGCTAATATTATCCCATGTAATAATATTAATAAAATATTAATGATTATATTAAATCTATTTTGTAATAGAACAAATAATAATATATTAAGTTTAGGATGTTTTATATTAATTATATCAATATCATATTTTTTATTGATTATTACATTATTTATTTTTATAATCTATTCTAGAAAACATATTGATTTATTGATTTATACAAAATGGGAAAATATTCCATTATATAATTCTGTGAAATTATGTTATAAACTTCTTAAATATAATTAGTTGTTTGTTTGTTTGTTTGTTTTTATTATTATTATTATAAAAAGTTGTACGGTGTATGATGGAACAATTTTGTGGATTGGTTGAAGTTAAATATTAACACCTTTGGATATCGTCCAGATCAGTGGTCTAATGACTAAGCCCTCGCGAGCGAGACTAGTAGGTACTGAGGGGGCGGGATTGTGAATGCGCACTGCTGAGTAGTCCTGTACTGGGATGTAACGGCCATTCAGTGCTTCAAGGTTTTTCATGATGGTCTAGCTTCAATTGATTCATGATTTCAACTACTGACATTTCCAAAATCTAAACAAAACCCTTGAGGATTCTATGTGAGATCTTGCCTTGTGACGTAGTTGGGTGCTTTTATCAATGTGTGTCCTACCCACTTCCAGCGGTCCTTCCTGATTTCTTACTCCGCTGAAATCTGGTTTGTTCTCTCCCACAGTAGCTTGTTACTGAACACTTTTATCTTCTGAATGATAGCTTTCGTAGTTCTCCAGGTTTCGTGATGCAGTTTGATGATTTCGTATTCTATGTCCCATCCACTTCAAACATCTTTTCCTAACTTCCTCTTCAGCTGGTTTGTTATCTCTTACAGTATGCTGTTGCTGATGGTATCCTGCTAATAGATATTGAGTATCTTGAATAGACAGCTATTCATAAATACTTTCACCCTCTTGATGATAGCTGTGGTAGTTCTCCACGTTTCAGCTCCGTAGAGTAGAACTGTCTTGACGATCGTACTGAAGATTCTGACTTTGATATTGGTTGAAAGTTGTTTTGAGTTCCATATGTTCTTCAATTGTAGGAATGTGGTCTTTGCTTTGCCAATCCACACCTTTACATCTGCATCTGATCTCCCTTGTTCATCGATGAAGCTTCCCAGATATGTGAAGGATTCTACATCTTTCAGAGTTCTACTATCAAGTGTGATTGGATTGCTGTTCTCCGTGTTGTATTTGAGGACCTTGGTTTTCTCCTTGTGTATGCTGAGGCCTGATGGTGCAGAGAGCGCTGCTACACTGGCTGTCTGTATCTGTATTTATTCGAGACAAACTTTTATGACCTCATCAACTCTATCGGAATCTTCGCTACACCATGGGAGACACAACCAAAACAAAGAATCAAACAATGATAAATTTAAGGTCAACAAGAACCAATCAACATCGAGGTGCACAGAACAAGCTGTGAAAAACATATGGAGAAATTCGAACACTTCACTTCTATCTGAAGTTTGTGCTGATGATGTCGTTCAGAAGAACAATGAAAGCTCCACGACCAAACCATCCAGTTCAAAGAACAAAACTTCACCAAAAACATTTATTCATCCTTAATCACCCTCTTATGTATAATTATGTCAATATCTGTAATCATGTTGAATTTCAAATTATTTAGGTTGTAAGCAACTGATGAGAACCTAACGAAATACAAGGAATTCATATACTAATCTGCACCAATCTTTGTTCTTGTTCTCTTTAAAAGAATGCAGTTATCTAAAAAAAAGAATCTGTAACATTATAACATTCATTTTTAATGATAACAATAGCAATAACGATAGTGATATTGACGATAAAGTAAATGTAAAACCAAAAAAAAACAAATAAACAAACACAAAAATTTCATTTCCATTATTAATCCACAAATATAATCCAATTTAAACAAACAGATCAATGAAAAGAAAAAAGGAAACGAATGAAAAATAACCAAATGCTTAATATCACATCACATTGAACATTGAAAATGACAAATTGATATTTTTGTTTATTTAAAACAAAAAAACAAAAAAAAAAGCGGAACCAAACACAAAACATAAAATGAATAGTTTTCAATAGAAAAATCATATGTTGACATACAATAAAAAAAATGTTTATATACTGGTATCAACTAATAGCTCTTCACAACATATATCAACAAACAAAAGATGAAAAGATAAGGAGAAATGATTTTATGAAAACTTCATCTTTATGGAACATTCATTAGTCATATTGAGTTGTTCTTCCTCTTCTTTGTCGTCGTCGTTGTTGTTGTTGTTGTTGTTGTTGTTGTTGTTGAAATATGAAGTTTATCTTCTGATGAAGTGATCATTTTAACATACATCACATAAAGGGCAACACAAATTATGACAGGAAGACAAAATAAATAATATATCAAGCAGTCTGTTTTTTTGTTTTGTTTATGTAGTAATTCATAAGAAATTGACTATTTAGCTGTTGAATTTGTTGATGTTTCATCTGTTATTGGCTTCTCAGTATTTTCAATCGTTTCTTCAGCCTGAAATTAGAATTACATCAAGTACATAAGATATAATCCAGGTACGTAGTATATATATATTTCAATTTAAACACATGACTTCTATAATAGTGAGATTTATCATTGACATACCAATCAATCATAATTAAATGATTTTTATACAGACTGACTTATTCTCATGTTGATATTTTGACTGAACTTTGATCAGTCTTGGTTGGTATATGTGTATCCAATGTGGATTGACTGGATATTAGCTAATACGACTCAAGTTTATATAGAATAGAGAAATTATGGTTAGATTTGGAATTATGGACACACGTTTCGTTCTTTTTGGGATTTATTAGTTAGGTGTATCTGCATCTCAGAATTCATGTTCGTTCTGGGACTTAAAATCAGTTGCTTTTGATATAGACACTAACTAGACCCCAGTTATGAATTTCGTTACCAGCTATTACCCATTTAATCGATTTAAACATACCATCTTGCATCTAAATATTAGAAAATTACTTATAGAATCTACTGTTACACCAATTGGAAAAACTTATTTACCTTCGTTTGTCAGAAGTAAATACACAGTTAATTTTCCTCAAATGTACTGAAGAGTTTAGTGACTAGTATTTTGTCTGTAATATTGGATTACCACGTAACAAATATATTGTCAGTATCATGAATCATGTCAACTACTGGAATGCATGTCTAACCTTATTCAGTCCCCAGCATTATACACCCATCTTACGACGACATCTGTAACTAATTACAGTGGTCTGAAGGTCCCAAGTTCGCTCTACAATGATACTGTTATGCATGGAGAGTGTTGAGTAGTCCCGTACTAAAATGGAACCAGTGGCTTTCACTGGTTGTTTAAATAAGATGATGTAAACTATGAAATCCAACGATCTCCATATAACTTCACTAGTAGTTATCATCTATAAATAAATGATATCCCAGGTGAATCACTGTAGCTTCTAAGATAACTAACTGAGAAAAGCTTATTAATATTTTAAAATAGCGTAATCTTATGAATATACTGAATATAATTTAAGTACTAAATGGTTAATGTGACATTTTATATTACCCATATAAATAAATAGGATGAACAAAACTTTCAGTAAACTTACATCCTTTTCCTTCAATTTAGGGATTAAAACAACTTTACCGATATTCTTCCTTTCTTGTAAACGCATCATAGCCTCTTTAGTCTGCAATTAAAAAGACGTATCATTTAAAAAACAACTAGCACTAAGATATTTCATGAAAGTAAACGAAAACTTCTTCCGTTAACCAAGTCAGAAAGAACTATATCACCTTTTCTGAAGTCTTTTTCTCATCAAATCAGAAATTAAAATTCAAACAGTAGCTTTCTAAACAGTTCAAATCCTATTCTAAGCAATCAAATAAACTTGAAATTATTGAATCAATCAAAAGAAACAATAACGATTAACTGATTATTTGAGTTTGATGATCTAAATTGATCTACTTCATCAGTTGAAAAACACCAAATGATCTACAAGAGTTCATGTATTAAAATCAAACAACCTTCAGTAACCAATAATATTGATCATTCGCTCAAATAAACAGTAATATTGGGAAGAATTATTATTTATTTATTATTTATTTTAACACATAGATATTGGTACAAGGAGGCACCAAGTACATATGCGTCATACAGGTCTCACTTGATATATGTCAGGGCTGTGGTACTGCTTAAGTGCCCAAACACCCGGATCCTTCGACCTGAATGTCTGATCCACAAGGCAGTGGAGCATCGTGAAGAAATGCATTCCCATAGTAGCCGGTGACCAACGATTGGTTCATACACCATTTTTTCCTTCAGGATACTGGAGCCCATGTGCACCATTCGTTTTGAATCTGGGTTTTCCAACTCCCCTAGGTGGACTCCATGTCCACCAACTCGGTTAAAGCGCCGGACATTTGCTTTTCGTCCTCTCAATTTAGTAAACAATAACCCCTCCACGAGGAGGCAGTGATTAGGACTTCCCTGGGAGAGGCTAAATACACCTGGCCATGTGAGAGCATTTGAAGAGGAAAAGCGAACTCTCCGCACTCTTGGTCGTACTAGGGCATTTGGGAGAAAAATGTCTTTAAGGCAATTAGAAAAACATTACCAGTGGTAACCAACTGTGTTGAAAGTGAGACTATTAGCCATAATAATAACATTTAGTCTAGCCATTCGTTTATAATACTAAGAAGTCCTGTTTAAAAAAAGAAAACAATTTTCTAGTATCCATTTGTTTTCTATAATTTATCATAAACATTTCAGTGATAATCATTTACACTATTATTGTTTTAAAATGTTTGTTACTAAAATGTTCTACATAAAACAATCGAAGATGGTTGCGAAATATCATAGATTGATTGAAGTCAGACCTTAACATCGTTAGATAACGTCTCAATGGTCTAGAGGTTAAGCGTTCACGTGTAAAACCGAGTGTCCTGGGTTCGAATCCCGTGCTCAGGATCATGATTACGCACTGCTGAGTAGTCCCATAACAATTGTTATAATGAAAGAAGGGTTTTTGTGGATATTATAGTAGTTTAATGGTTGAATTCATGTGTCGATTAAAGCTAGACCACTATGGGAAACCTGGATGCATTGAACGGCCGTTTTGTCCTAGTACTGGACTCCTCAGCAGTGTGCGTTCACGATCCCGTCTCGCGAGACTCGAACCCAGAACCAATCAATCTCACGCTCGAGCACTTGATCATTAAGTCACTGAGCCAGCATCCAATGG